TTCTTCATCTTCTTTCGCTTGAAATAAATTATCTATATGTGCACTGTTGTCTCTAGTATGAACTTCACTGTCTTTTGTAATTCACTGAGTGACCGGTAAAAGTGGTTTTCTAACAGTTCACGTGTGGGTTCCGGGGCCCCATTGTGGGGAAAACAAGAATAGACCCACTGCCTCCCCAAAAGCATGTCGTAAGAGTCGACTAATTGGGGAGCTTCCTTTGAAGTCGGAGTGCATCTGCCGGAGAGGCAAGGAAACCAACAGTCTGTATTCAAGTGAGATCTGTAAAAAACTGAGCACACGCAACACTCAGGTTCTGGAGCGGGACTGCAGTTCAGTAGTGGACGATCAACCAGAACTTTCCGCCAGAGTGTACAGCTGGTGAACGCGAAGAAGAAGAAGAAGTTCAAGTAAGTGAAATTATTTAATTATTCTATAATCTAGTGTATAGTTGTCCCCTTATTTCCCGTTATGTTCTCTCTTTTCCTTTCATCTCTCATTGGAGCATAGGCCCTCAACCTATGCACGCTAACCCTGCCATAGACATGCTTGATTGCTTGAATATTGCAGCTACATTTTAGATTCTGCAACAAAAGATTTTATGTTGTAGCTTAGGTTTTCTATAAAATAAGCTGACAGTAACAACATGCAAAGTATAATATTGTGCTACTATTGTTCATAACATACAGGCGCTCATTTTAAAAATTAGAAGTAAATAATGAGCATACTACACTTTCATTCATAATTTAGATCTTCTCTATTCTGTCTTCATAAAAAATTGAAAACACCAGCCATTGTTTTCCTGAAAGGATTGCATTTAAATCAATGCACTGATTTTGATGCACTGATTGATTTTGATTCATTGATTACCTATAATCAACCTAATTCATTATTGAAATCGATAAATTAACTTTTGATTCATTGATGAACTATAACCAACTTTATTGCACTCAGGACACATCAATATGGGCTCCCCCCCCTTTGTCTTTAGTTGTTGAAGTACAAGCATGCTGATTGTTTTCTAATGTTGTGAATTGTCCAGAGCTCGTTTCCAGATATTCATTTCCAGGTTATGTTAATAAAAAAATACAATAAAATCAAATAATAGCAGTATAGTTTTGTAAAAATCATCATACACTCACATATGATTATATGTACAGTAACACATCATAAACATTGGGTCAAAGCAGAGCAGTAGCTGAAGCACCTGCTTACCAGTCTTATGGTCATGTATTTGAATCTTAATCAAAGCAGAACTTTTTTAAAGGGCTTTTATATCAACACAGCCCTAAGTAAATACCAGGAAATCTTCTGGAAAACAAAGGCAGCTTGTGTCATATTGACTGCTTCATCTAGCAATTGCTAATTAATCTATGAAAGGTATGAGGCTAGCATCTTTTACCCAATAAATTAAAATATATAAAAAAAAAAAAACTTTGTTGTCATCAAAACTATCATCATCATTATCATCATCATCATCATCATCAAGTACCTTTCCGACTGGCAGGGGCCATCATGCCTCTCCACAGTCTGAATCTTCAAAATGATATGGCAACATTCCAAAGCAAAAAAAGTAACTCACTATAAAGTTCAAGGGATAAACACAGGCCAATATTTAATTTTTCTGTTCACTATAGAAATACCATTAGCCAGCAGTGTAAGAATATATTAAACATGGAATAACACAATGAAGTGAGTTAAAACAACACTGCCATATATATTTAGAGTTACAACAATTAGTGTTTCTGCTAGTCTCCTCAATCAACTCATGTAACCAAACATTTTTAGAGTTTACCTAGGCAGGTGTAATTCCAGAAAATTAAAAATTTTTTTTTCTTAAAAATAATATTCGTCTGACTTCAACCTCTGAACTTAAACAGCATCAGTGTCCTGTTGTGCCATTCTGTTCCTCCATTTACCAGTAGAGATTTACTTTATATTCCATCTTTTTATTATATCCTTCATCAACTGGTTTTTGTTGTCTAGTGAGTTTAGTTTTTCTAAATGAGAAATGTCCGTCTGGTTACAAAAGTAAAAGTAAACGGACAGGACCCTTTTACACACCTTTCAAGCGTATTGGGTATATAGGGCTTATATCTATATTTTATTGACCAAACAGCACTTGGTGGAAGATGTGGTCAGCATCATGCTGGAGGCCTTTATTTTAAAGAACTGTTCTTGGTACCCTTTCAAGGCTCGATCGACCTGGGAGCCAAGGTCATTTCTTAAAAAAAAAAGTCTAGCCCACATAAGGAACCAAACCCACGACCTTCTGATCTGCAGGTGAGTGTCTAGCCACCTCCCTTCAGTCTATAGTCCGTTCAACAATAGATAAACACACAAGCAAGCCATTTTCTTGAAAACTGCCGGTTAGATCGCAACGATTTTTTGCATGCATCCTTAGAATATCCTTGACGCAAAAGTAGTGGTTTTCTTTAGTCCATAGATACTCAGGATACTGAAAATCAGCCAATTCCTTTGATATTTTTTTTTTTTTTGGAACCAATGTAAATAAGTAGAGTGAACTTTTAGATATAACAGTAAAAATCTGAATTTCCAGCTAAATTTTTTGTTCAGAGGTGTGTCTTCATAATACATTGATATGTGAATTAAATTTATTTGTTGTCATTTATGTTCAACTGAGCTGAATTGAGCTGACTCAAGAAAGACATTACAGCACTCGGGGGAATTCACATATGCACTCCTTCCCCATCTTGAGCAGCCAAGGCAGAGTTGCAATACTTATGGGACCGGACACAGTCTGATTATATGTCTATCTTGCCTTTCCTCTGAGTGTAGTGTGCCGGCCAGGCCCTTTGGTCACACCCAAGTGTATCATTCTCTCCAGGCCATGCTAATCTATTTTCTCTTCTGACTTCATTACTTGTTCCCAACAGGCCTTGACCACATCTTCCTTGTCATGTATCAACTTACCACCTATTGGTGCAGATCTAGCCAATCTGTCTGCCTTGTTTAATTGTAAACATGTCCCCAGTATGCAACAGTTAGTATTCCCCTTCGGTGACCATCAGACCCCACAGTGTATCTTAACTGCACAGTAATTGTAGATGTACCTGACGGATTGATGATATTCAACCACTCATCGAAAAATGGTTTTAATCATTCTGAATCTGACGATACAAAAAGGCTGATAATTGTTACTGGCTGAACAAATTGTAATCCATCTCAGTGCCAGTACTCGTCTTCCTTTCAGAGCACATTGTTCAACACACTTTTTCCAGAAATGAATGTCTATTTTTGAAGACTTTTTGAAATGTCAACACTGCATTGTGATTTCAATGTTAACTTCAGTTTCGGAGAGTAACAAGTTGATTTGTTTTTAACAAGGTTAAGATCTCACATCTAATGACATCTACATCAAAGTCGTCAACTTTCCCTTTCCTTCCCTGCTTGACATGAGCGTACTCTGTATCCTGTCTAATCCAACAGTTAAATGATGCTCTATCCAGACCAAGTGCCAATCATGTTCGTTTTTCACGTTCATGAATATCACAATATAAAGGACCCATCTTAGTTCCCTGAAGAAGTAAAAAAAAAAAGTAAAGTAAAGATCTCTTTACACACCTTTAGGCTCATCCGGCATACGGGAAGAGCACCCATATTTTTACAGACCAATCGGCACTCGGTGGGTAATGTGGTCAGCATTACGCCGGCCGTCTTTACTCTCCCAGGACAGCCCATCCTGGTACCCATTTGAGGCTGGGTCGACCTGCGACGTCCCATACCACGATAAAAATCCACGCAGCCCACGCAGGTTTCGATCGCGGTACGTTGGATTACGAGTCGGACTCGCAACGCCTTAGCCACGTGCTGGTACAATAAAACTGTAACCTTCTGCATAGTTATAAATTTGCATCTCAAATTCATTTTGAAGTTGATGTCTAAGTCAGCGTTTATAATCTAGCTATATGACTTAATAACTTAACGCTAATTTGACTGAACAACCTTGACTGATGTCAGCGTTTATAATCTAGCTATATGACTTAATAACTTAACGCTAATTTGACTGAACAACCTTGACCGATGTCTGCTTTTATTATCTAGCCATATGACTTAATAACTTAACGCTAATTTGACTGAACAACCTTGACCGATGTCTGCTTTTATTATCTAGCCATATGACTTAATAACTTAACGCTAATTTGACTGAACAACCTTGAACCGATGTCAGCGTTTTATAATCTAGCTATATGACTTAATAACTTAACGCTAATTTGACTGAACAACCTTGACCGATGTCTGCTTTTATTATCTAGCCATATGACTTAATAACTTAACGCTAATTTGACTGAACAACCTTGACCGATGTCAGCGTTTATAATCTAGCTATATGACTTAATAACTTAACGCTAATTTGACTGAACAACCTTGACCGATGTCTGTTTTTGACTTCCGGTCACTAAAAGTGCGACTCTGCAAAAGAAAATCATGAAATTGTGTAGGTTTTCTTTGACCCCCTAAAAAACCAGTCATAGTGTGCATTACTTCCTAAAACTAATGTAAGTAAACCTTTCAAAAGTCTACCAAGACGGTTTCATGATAAAAATATATATCGTAAAGAAGAAAAAACTACATGTGACGATATTCTTTAGTGAAAAAATATTTCCCTAACATCATGGATATTCTAAGGCTACCTGCAAAAAATCATTGCGATATAACAGGTAGTTTTCAAGAAAATAGCTTGTAAGTGCATTTATCTATTGTTGAACGAACAATAGTTTTGGATTTTTAAAATCACCAGAAAATTATTAAGCTTTTGATCCTTCAAAAATGTATTAAAAACCATGAAACTTTGATCTATTTTCTATTACATTTGTATAAAATTTCTTTCACATATTCTTTTAAGTTTTTGAATTTAGGACTTGAAAATAGCAAAACATGAATGAATTAACTTAAGACATGTATTCATTTTTAAAGGCAATGGTACACAATTATAATAATTTTATGATAAACAAGTGATATGCCCTTTTGTGTGTCACAAATTAGACCGGAGTTGACTTGTAAACATTGCTCTCCTCTTTCTGGCAACAGATGGTTAGTGTAATGGCTACTAGTCCAATTAGAAGAATAACACCCCCAATGGCGCCAACAATGGTGTAAATGGTCCATGAACTGATGCTGCCTTCTATATATACATCTTGCTCGGAGTTGTCACTATCATCACTTGTATCATCTACATCTTCATTATCTTCATTGTTTGTTTTAACAGGATTGTGTCGATTGTCGCTGACTTCTGGATGCTCATTACTTCTGTAATTAAATGTCCAGATTTCAAAGGAAGTTGTACTAGAGGAATCTCCTTTTGTTGTTGTTTTCGGAAGTCTTTCAAATGATGTTGTTGTGGAAGTAAATGTATCTTCACTTATGATGTTATCTTTTCCTTTTTTGTCCTTCTTACGATCATTTTTCTTCCGGTTGTTGTTTCGATTCTTGGGTCGTTTGGTTGTGGGAAAGTACAGATCAGGGTCATAGTCTGATGGGTCAAGGTCTTCCCGATTGTAGCCTCCTTCAAGTATGGAATTATCCAAAGTGTCCAGCTCGTTTTGATCCAGCTCTCCCTGGTTGTCACTTTCTGCCATGTTGTTGGTGTTGATGTTATTTCTATTTTTCTCAGACAGCCGTGGCACTGGAAAACAACAATAGGTCATTACTAGTATATAACATCTGACTAATTTTTTTTTTTTTTTTTTTTTTATGGTACTAAATACATTTATAATTTAGATCAGATGGTTAATATGTTTTAGACATGTTTTGAGTAGGAAGTTGACATCTTCAGTTGAAGGATTTTGATTGCAGTTTCATAATCCTGATATACCAGACTCAGCTTGGTGCAAATAGATTCAGCAGCAGGTCAACTTGCGCTGATTCTGACAATGGCATGAGCATTGACCATTAAGGGAGAAAAAAAAGGTAAGTTGCATATCCTTTATAGGATGTTGCAGAACCAACCTGAGAATTTCGGTGGCTGTTTGGCTCATGATACCACTGCTGAAACCAACACAAAGTAGTCTGCTGCCAAAATATCTGCAGCTGGGATTGATTCTGGTACCATTCATAACGCCTAAACCAGAGATACACAGTTTGGTCATTGACAAAACAATGGCCAGTTACTGAATACAAAATTACCTAGTAAAATCACAAACAGGCAACAAATTATACGGTTAGTTTTTGCAGTTGTATCAAGGAATGCTTGCCTGCATAAAACTAGTAGCAATCCTTCTACTGAGAACAAATAGAACTTTTAACCAGTCACACCAGGAAACTCTCCCTATTCTTCTTCTGAAAACTACAAATCTTTTAACCAGTTCTACCAAGGAAGACTTTATTCTACAACCACCACAAGTAAAATTTTGGTCATTTGTAGGTAAAAAGGACCTTTAGGGCTAGACCTATATTTTATAGATCAGTCGGTGCTCGGTGGGTGATGTGATCAACATCACGCCGGCTGCCTTTACTTCCTGGGACTTCATCTGGTACCCATTTAAGGCTGGGTCGACCTGGGATCAAAGTCACTTTTTTTTAAAGTTCGGCCATGTTCAGAATCGAACTGATGAGCTTAATCCACAAACGAGCATCAAGCTGCTACACATCAGTGGCTCGGGCATTCAGTTGTACCGAGGCACAAAATACTTACAGTCTGGTATAAGCACTGGCTCTATCACTGTCAGCCAAGCAGAGCTGTGCTTGAGTCCCCAAATATTTCCTGCCATACATCTGTACTCCCCCTCATCAGTCTTCTGTATGTTGTCCAGCATCAACACATTGGGATCAGAGCCATCTGGCAGAAACTGAAATTACACAAACATCAAGAAGGTTTATGTGTGAACAGTTACTTAAATAATTCACTTGAATCCACATTTAACAGCAGTCTAAATAGGTACTACTAAGGACATCACAAAGGGTGAGGGGCATCCACATACGTTTTCAATATTATTGAAGCTGAGTGCTTATTTTCTTCTTTGAAGTGCACTATATTAAAAAATATCTTTATGACAACTATACAACATTGCAGGCTGCATTCCTTATCTCTTTTAAGCCTAGAAGTAGGTCTGTTATATAAAACTAGATTTGCAGATCTCAGCAAACACTTTGCAATTAAAACAAAATAGAAGAAAACTGTCCAAATACGAGTAAAGTGGAAGTACTACAAAAATTGACAGTATTTTCCATCTCACTGTAATATTTGTTAAGTTTTAAAAAATAAAATGTTTTATAGTTTATAATTGTTTATTATTTGAATCACACAAATGGGGGCATACCAGTGTCATCTTAACACCTTCACACGCACACACACACACACACACACCTGCTGGGCACTTGCCAGGAGGGTCCCATGAACATAGAGGCCCTATGCTGATTTGTGTATGTCAAGTGTTCATTTTCCCTTTATTCCTGTGAGTGGTTGTCATAGGGGCCCCTGCACACTGATTTGTAGAGGGCCCATAATGCCATTATGATGGCTCTGGGAGAGGGAACCCACATTTTCCAAGTGCTTAGAGCATTGAAGGGTCTTAACCTGGTCCTGCCCATAGGACTATAGAGTTGTGTCGCGGAGCGGGCCCCTGACAGCGCCACTGTTGGACTATACAGTTCGAAGCGAGAGTGACAGTTTCTGTCACAGTTCCCGCCTCTGTAAGATGAGGCAGGTCCCTCAGCAAGTGACTGTATGTTATACTTGTACCTCTCATCCTCAGTTTGTTGGACCAGATTGCTCTTAAAGAGCACCAGTCTGTTACACACATCTCATACCTAGGAATATCTCTCTGCTAAGACTTTCTCCCATGCTTCTCTCTCTTTGCCAAGGGTTTTTAAAGACATCCTTATAATGCATGTGGGGTCTACCAAATTTAATATTTTATTTTGTCTTTTCTTTGTATAGCCCTTTGGGAGCGAGTGAACAGTGCCAAGGTTCAGATTGATCATAACGGTCTGAGGAGAATGGCACTGCGAGGAGTTACAATGGGATCTGGTGGATGTTTGACACTTAGGGGAAAGGCGAGACGGATATACAATCAGACAGTTACTGGTACTATCAGAATTTTAACTCTTCGCTTGCTGTTGAAGATGGGGACGGAGCGCTTATGGCGGTGTCCCGAGTGCTGTGATGTTGATTCTTAATTCATTATTCAACATTCATTTCAAGTGATACTTGCCCCTACACATAGTATTCTTGTCTTCACCTTTTTAAACATGCTATGTAAGTCTAGTTCGCAAGTCAGCAGCAGAATGCAGTGACTGCCTCCACCTCCATTCTCAAACTAGATGTTGAAGTATCAAATGCCAGACTATGCTGCAATAAGCATTGTCCATTCACTTTTTTCTATGAACCCCATGTACTTCTTCTGTATCTCCATACAGAGCCATTTGTATGGATAATCTTGTCACTTGGACAGGACTTGCCCTGTGGTATTCCTGGGGTGATACTGCCTGGTCCCCTGGTCAACTCAAAATAGCCAGTTCAAACTCCAAGGAAGATTCATTTAAGGGAACTGTATTCGGATACATTTTAAAAGGAGATTAGTTTTTAGCTGATTTATTTCCCATACTTATTAGCTGATTTATTTCCCCAAATCCATTGCTACATACCCAAGTGATATGCACTTTAGAAATCAGTATCTCAGACAATAAAACAATCAATACTTACATCAGCCTGTGGCCTGTTCTCTTCTGTGCTCTTGCTGCTGTGCATTTTCTGCCATCTAATTGTTGCCCCTGGATCATTAATGACTCGACATCTGAAGGCAACATTGGAGCCTGTCATTTGTGTGATGTTATTTGGACCTTCAATCATTAGAGGCCATAGTTTCACTGAAATGTATTTAAAATACAACAGACATATTTTACATGGTTTTATAATTTTTACTCCTGCAGTCCGACACAGTTGTTACACTAAGCTTGCATTATTCTAAAAACCACTTCTTTAGCTAACAAATGTGGGGGATCTTCTTCTTCTTCTTCTTTGTTTTCGGTTTGTATGCTTAGATCATACCTCAGGTGGGTTGACTCTATGAACTCGCCTGTCAGCTGCAGGTCCTGTATGGTCCCCCATAGCTTGCTCTGGGGGATCTAATGTAGTTAAAATAATAAGGTCATGAGATAAATGAAGCTACACATCACCTGAAGTATCCCTGAATGTGTTTCAGACCTCACCAAAGGGTGGGGGAGGGGATAGACCACACTGCCTCTCTCTCCCCAATAATCATGTCATAGGAGGCGACTAATTAGGGGTGTTTCTATCAAAGATGAAGTGTGTCCGTCTAAGAGGCAAGGAACCAACAGTCTGCATGCCATTAATTCACATCTGTAAAATGAGAAGCATGCAAAACTCAAGTTCTTGAACATGACGTTGATGAATAACCAGAAGTTTCTGCCAGAGTTTTCAACAGGTGAAGAAGAGAACTGAAGGCAAGTTGGGTTAGAGTAAAAACTGATTCTTCTTTTTCTTCTTCTTCTTTTTTTTTTTTTTTTTTTTTTTTTTTTTATTCTTCTTTTTCTTCTTCTTCTTCTTCAATCCTTCTGTCAGAAATCATTTTTCAGAAGGCCAACAGCAGTCCAGATCTTCATGTGTACTGTACAACTTTGTCTTGATTATGTCTAGAACAGACCAGACTGCTTCTGTTAGCAGTAGAGTGAGGTTAGGACTATCTGATTTAATACTACCTTCCTGTGACAAGTGGTCTATTGAAATTAAATTACATTTTAGATAAATTAAAAGACCTGTTTGGGAGAGGAACTGGAAGAGACAGCAGAAGATAAATAAGACAAATAATAAGAAGAAAAAATGGATTTCCATCACAACTCTTACCTTGGACATCCAAATGAAAGGTCCAGTTTATCTGGCCAAGCTTGTTACTGACTACACATGTGTAGTTGCCGCTCATGTCACTGGTCAGTGTTCTCAGGGCCAGGTTGAATTTTCTTACCTGAATAAACAAACCAAGCTGCTGTTGGTAAATTTCCTTTGAGAAATGTTGCACCTCACTATGACCTAAATTACAGGCATGTGCAGACACTGAAGAAATCAATGAACTTTTTTTTGGCAGATGATCAATACACTACCAAGAACAGAATTGACAACACAATATTGACTCCTTACATCACGCCTGCACAAAGTATGACATGAGAATAAACACTGCAAAAAGTGAGGCAATGAGAATAGGCAGGAAACATAATAGCATGAACATTTATGTTAACCTTACTTTTTGGGGGGGCAATGATTTTCATATTAGTTGTTTCACATTCTTTATTCATGGATGTAAGACGTTGTTGCAATTTCATGCTCTACCCCTCCTTCCCAAAGATATGAATGTTATACTTGCTATAGGGACCTTTGGCAATCACAACCCATGTGGATGGGGCGAAGGAATAACAAGATCCCCTAGTGTTCAAAAATACCTTTCACAGTTTGGGCGTGAGATTTAAGGTCCCTTGCTGCCATTGCTTGTATTTAACGTGTTTCTTTTCAAATCTACTTTGTAGTTTTGCTGTCCAGATTGATATTTTTTTTACATTTTTATTTTCAAGTTGGTATAGCAAACTTTTAGGTAGCAGTTAGGAGAGGACAAATTGATCAATCAATCTCAAAAGTTCCAGTGCCATTATAACACTTAAATATGACACTGCTTGATGACACATACATAGTATACCCAGTTGATGAAGCTGTTCATTTCATAAACTAGGTACATGTTTCTGTATTGTGGATAATTGTTGTTTTTTTCTGCCCATAGCATATACTAGTTAAAGCATTGCTAGTTCATGAAATGGAGGCCGCCGTGGTCTAGCAGCTAGACGCTCATCTACAGATCCAAATGTCATAGGTTCAAATCCAAATAGTGCTGGATGTTTTTTTTCCCTCTCTCTTTGGCTCCCAACTCAACTGTTTTAAAGGTTACCAGGTAAAAGTCCTGGGACATAAAGGCAGCAGACGTGATGTTTACCACATCTCCACCGAGTGCCCATTGGTCTATAAAATTTAGGCCTAGCCCTATATGCCCAATACACATGAAGCCGTTAAGAACGGTCCTTTTTACTTGACTGGTTCGTGATATGGACAGAGCTAACAGCCAGTTTATAGAAAAACGGTAAAGATGATCAGTCCATAAAATGGGCCATTTCAACTAGTTCCTAATATGAGCGAGTGAAAAGGCAAATTTGCCGAAATAAGATGTGACATAAATTCGGGTGTATGACAGATAAAATCAAGTGAGTGATGATTTACCTCCACATTGTCAGTGTTTCTGAGTTCCACTCCATCTTTGAACCATTTGACCGTAGGTTTGGGGTCAGACTGTGCCTTACAATCCAGATTAAGGTCACTGCCTTCATAGACAGATTCAAACCTCTTGTTATTGGCCGGCATCGAAGATGACTTCCATTGTGGGGGCGCTCCTGGCAAGGATATATATTACCTCACATTATTTTATGCTGAACTATATGTGTTATCTCACATTGTGTTATGCTAGGATACACGCACTATCTCACATTATTTTATGCTGAACTATATGTGTTATCTCACATTGTGTTATGCTAGGATACACGCACTATCTCACATTATTTTATGCTGAACTATATGTGTTATCTCACATTGTGTTATGCTAGGATACACGCACTATCTCACATTATTTTATGCTGAACTATATGTGTTATCTCACATTGTGTTATGCTAGGATACACGCACTATCTCACATTATTTTATGCTGAACTATGTGTTATCTCACATTGTGTTATGCTAGGATACACGCACTATCTTACATTATTTTATGCTAAGAGATATACATTATTTTATGCCAAGATATACACATTATCTCACATTATTTTATGCTTAAATATATGCATTATCAAAGATTAAACAGCATTAAAAATATATAGCAACTAGCACTAGCAAGGAAATCAAAATTCAAATGTTAAGAACAGTCATCTTCTCTGTAGCAACATACGGATGTGAGTCGTGGACTGTCTTCCAGTGTTTAATAAAAAAAAAATAGGAGCTTTTGAGCTGAAATTATATAGAAATATTTACAGAATACCGTGGAAAAAGAAGAGAGGAAATACTGACATTTTATAAGATCCGAACATCAAGGAAGATTGGCTAATAAACAGCATCCTCCTGTCTCGGAAACTGAAATAATTTGGTCTTATCAAGCGAAAGCGGATTAGAAAAAAAATATATAATAGCAGAAGGCATGGTACCAGAAAGGAGGGGCAGGGCCGACCGACACGACGATGGGCACTGGATATAAGTGACTCCTTGAGTATGAAAGTACAAGAGGCGGGAGAACTGGCGAGAGACCGAGTTTCTTTCAGTCAGGCCGTGATGAGAGGGACGTTCTGCAAAGGAGCTGCTACATGGGGATGACGACATGCATTATCTCTTATTACTTTATGCTAAGATATACTAATGATCTCACATTACACTAAGATATAAGTATTATCAGGGGGCTGAGTGAACTCGAGATATCGGATCAAACCCAGGTAAAGGCTAGATTTTTTTTTTTAACGTGGACTTCTAGTAATTTCCCCTGTTCTCTAGGTAGTGAGATCGGATGCCTGTGTGTATTACTGCGCACGTAAACAAAATACATTGGCAGTTGGAAATCGAAAAAAAGTTGCCTTACAGCGCTGCCCGTGCAGAATTTGGAGTTAGAAATCTTCCCAAAGTATTTTAGGATCTTCGCCGGCGCAACGGGGTTCGTGCACTGCGCTAAGATTCTTTAGACTCAAGCTTGAATTAGAAGAGAATGGAGCACTTATTGGTTACACCCATGTGCCATGATTTTAATCCATTGAATAAACATAAACGTAAGTATTCTCAAGCAGATGTTGATTTTAAACTAGTACATATATTTTGTGAGAAGTGGCGGGGAGAAAGAGAGATGGATTACAGAGTGAGAGAGAGAGAGAGAGAGAGAGAGAGAGAGAGAGAGATGGATTACAGAGAGGGAGAGAGAGAGACAGAGAGAGCCAAGAGGCAAACTATGCATGCAGAGGAAAGAAAAAGACATAGAGCAACAGAGGGAAAGATAGGAATGGGGTTACATACGTGCAGATATAGATAAGGAAGGGAAAGACAGAATGAAAGTCAATAACAGAATGAAAGAGAACAGAGATATAAGAGAGAAACAGGCAGATCAAAATGTATTTCTATATTTCTTTAGTCCTATGTCCTTTCTTCTGTAGCATTTCAATTCAAAAGTTCCATTCTGTTTTCTTTAATAGTTGAGCAAAGGTCCTTGACTCACATTCACAAGTTATCACGGGACAGATGCAACATCTCCACATAAAAAAGTTTCTTCAACTCGCTTGCAGATGCTGTGCCATGGATTCTTCATGCTGTTTTCTCCCTGACACGGTATCAAAATACAATCTTTAAGAGAACTTTGTTGCAATATTGTACTGCCCCGTCCAGCGGCTCCAAGAAAACATTGTCTACCTGAACAGTACTCAAATTACACATGACAAAATCATATGCCGCTACTAAGACATAGTGAGTTTGAACATTCGTGCTTTTACAAATATCTAGAAAACACATGAAAGGATCAACGCGAATTTTTGCAGGTGCCCTTAGATCTCCCATGACCTTATGAATTTATAATTTACAATTGCACAGGTGCTGCTATTTTCCTAATGCGGCGAATTTCTTGGATCTTTGTTTCACGAATAATGTGTACCACTAACAAATATAATAAACATTAATTGACACACGTGTGGAGATTTTTTTGCAAATAATTTCACATATATAGCGATAGACGGTGAACATTTTGATAGCCAAGCATGCACGCAATGAAACATTCGTCTACCGTAAGTCCCGGTAGGTAAACGCCAGAGATGACCACTTTAGCATGAAAAGCTTATGAAAAGTGATATTTTGTCATCCCTTTGTGGGATGCAATTTTTCGTTATTTGAAGCCCTACTCTGGCTCTTGCCAGGGCCGCAATATAGCCCGGCCATAAATATAGTCTAATGGCTGAACGCGGTTTCCCGGACCTCCCCACGGGTGATCCTCATCCACATGGTGGCACTTTGTGTCATCGGGTGTTTATCGCTTGTGTGATGTCCTAGTCGGGTAAAAGAAGATAGAAAAGAAAAGCTTATGAATCTGTGCAATTTAATGTTTTGAAAAGTTCCCGTTACTCAGTTTAATGTAAGCATGCTGATTGTTTGTCTTGAATTGGTGTCTGTTTTTCATTTACCGGAAATGAGCAAAAGGAACACTTAAACGGGCATGATTATTGACAGGTTACCTATTTACAAGGTTTACAGTAAGATGGAAGATAATATCTACTTTTGTATACTTCAACTTTATTTATGTTTGAAGGGTTTTCTTCTACTAATTTTTGTTTTTAATGCAGTCTTGGACCGGATCCTCAAAAGAAGCTGAGAAAGGTGGAGACAAGCAGGCTTCGAGCAGAGTGGCAAGCTTTACTGGGAAGGTCACGGGTAGTGAGCATACTTTAGATCTTTTCTCCAGGTGATGCCGGCGTTGTGGGGAATGAACAGGCAGACGGATTTGCTGGATCTGCACCACTGGGTGTTGAATTGATACATGACAGAGCAGATGTGGTCAAAGCCATCTGGAAACAAGCAAAGGATCAGAAAAGAAACAAGATTATTGTGGCCTGGAGAGAATGAGGCATCAGGGTGTAACCAGAGGGTCTGGCCGGCTCACTAAACTCAGATGAAAGGCAAGACGGACAAATAACTAGATTCTGACCGGTACCATCAGTAGTGGAACTCTGCGCCGGCTGCTGAAGATGGGGACGGATCATGCGTTGGAATACCCTGTGTGCTGGGATGTCAATTCTTGACTCAACAACTCAATCCTCAAAATAATCGTAAGTAAAGGGTTTGCTTTCTACTTATCAGAGATAACGCATTGTTGTTCTGATATGATTTTTTTTTAAATATCCTTTAACCGAGAAAAATATTAATCCTAGATCCAAGGCTACTGAAAATTTCTGAGGTGCACCCCCCTCCCCCCCCCCCCCCCCCATCCTTTGTGATGCCCGAAGCATGTGTTTAGTGTACTTAATGGGTAATCCGGCCCTGGCTAGACCTACATTTTGTTGACCAGTCAGCACTCGGTGAGTGACGTATTCAACAACATAAGGCGGGTCGCCTGTATAATCCTTACGTCCTTTTTAGGATGCAATTTTTTATAATTTGAAGCCCCACCCTGGCTTTTGCCAGGGGCCGCAATATAGGCTGGCCATAAATATGGCCAATTGTCTGAACGCGGTTTCTGGGACCTCTCCACGGTGATCCTCATCCACATGGTGGCACTTTGTGTCATCGGGTGTTTATCGCTTGTGTGATGTCCTAGTGGGGTAGAGAGTCAGTCAGTGGCCTGTACTTCTCAGGACTTCGGTAGCCACTGCAAGGTCAGTTGGGGTCAAGGTCATTTTTTTAAAGCCGGCTCTGTCAGGACCTGTATCCACGACCTTAAGATCCCCAGGCGAGGTCTAGCCGCTACACCACGGTGACATACTGTAAATGTGTATTATACACTTTGTGCTGAGTACCGGCAAATTATTATCAGAATTATTTTCCAGAAATTAAAGCACCGCTTATTACAATTGTCGGCGAACGCGCTTCGATAATGGCGAGATGCAGGATTGGATTTCAGCTGCGGGCAATTTGACAGCAGACCATTCTGCGTTGATTTCTACAGTGGTATCGAGAGCCGACCGTTCACAGGCAACGGCAAATTTAAGAACGTACAAGTTGCTAGTACAACCACAACAGCCAACAACTGCTGGAGCTGGTTCTACAACGTCCTGTAAACGATACACAACTAACTCAACACTATAGAAGGGGTTCACTTCTGGTTCTTGTATGGTATCTGTTTACTCTAGTAGGTTGAACGGGTACACGGGAATCACCAGGCCGGTTTCCCGTGTTTTTCTTGAAGTCTAAAACTTGTAGGCAGCTGTCCAGAGAGGACAGACAGCTATCGCACCTCTTGGGCGAGAGGCCTTGAATCCCCAGCGAGGGACACACACCAGTTATAGTAGTACACATGCTATGTTGCAATCAGTCAGATATTCATTGAACAAGGCATCACAAAAATAACTGCTCCCCGGCTTTATCAATCAATTGACAAAAAATTATACTTACAGATAATAATAACGGTAATGTGATGATATATTCCAGTATTATATGCGAATGCAACAAACACATACAAATCCATACCTTTATTTTTTTTTAAATAGTCTCATAAATGTATCGCAATTGTTTCTGTCCATTTCATACAATTTCGACATTTTTTTCTCTTCACATTTTTGGTTCATTTCTAGTCCACAGATTTAGGATATAAATAATGTCTGCGGGATTCAAATATCAATACATGACAACAGCGCTGGCAAGTCATGTTGCATGTTGCCGTTTCTCA